TCTGATAGGCAAGTTCCATTAACTTCTTCACAGATTCACTGATGCGACATGTTGGCAAAGCAAAGGAATGTTGGTCCAGTGTATTTTCAGGCTCTAAATTTCCAACTTCATCATACTGAGCTTTGGCCACTTTCTGTACAGCTAGCTTGTCATCTTCATTAGGACTGGGTAAGTCTGGTACACTTATCTTAGAATCAGGAGTAATCTAAGATTCAAACACAGAAAATGTATTGGCCTTCAGAATAATTCAAATGCAAGCACACAGACAGGAATAAAATACTGGTTGCTTCCATGATGATTAAGCTGTGGTTCTACAGAGTAATTTAAAGATCTGAGTAAATATGGTAGTATTTTCATGACTGCTTAATCTCAGGTAAGAGCACAAAAAATATGCAATCCCCAAAAAATATGCAATCCCCTTTACTGTGCAATTTTTCAAATCAGTGAAACTGGCCCAAGATTTCAGGTAAATGAAAAGACCTTCAAAAATTCTCTTTCTCAAAGCCAAGACACATGGAGATCTCCAAGGGACGCCAGGCCCACAGATATTGAAAGGAGACAAGGACTTTCCGCCAGAGCTGAGAGAGTGAAAGCCTTCCCCTAGAGCTGGCACCCTGAATTTAGACTTCTAGCCTCCTAAACTATGAGAGAACAAATTTGTTTGTCAAAGCAAAAAAATAAAAAATAAAAATATCTTTCTCAGACTAAACTATCAGATTATTACAGACCAAGCGTAAGTATAATTTTGTGTTATATCGCCTATATTGTTAAATTATTTCTCACCAGACACATGTGTTGGCTATGAAAGAACTTATTGAGTTAGTTTAAGAAATACCTTACTCTTTTCCTTAAAAAAAAAAAAAAATCCAAACAAAACCAAAAATGCATCCCTAAAATTACATCAGATGAAAATTCTCAGACTTGGTCAGGAGTAAATGACAAAAACACTAGGCTGCAGGTCTGAAACATAAGGGATGTGTTCCTCCTAATGTTCAAATAAATCACTTAAATTCCCTACACCTCAATTTCCTCATCATGAAATGAAGAAACTGGAGTGCAGCAGTGGTTTGGGAATCTTGCTTCTCTAAGATACCTCAGCAGCCAAGAAAAAGAGATTATTGGGTAAGGCAGCAGGTTCCTCACATTCACAAGAAGAGGAGCTCTGCTCTGTACATACTGTACCTCTATGGAAAATTTATGACAGAAAAGGTTCCATGTCTATCTAACCAAAATGTTTAAGTCACCAGACTTGGTTTCCCAATCTGTATAATGGTATAATAGCATCTACTTCATAGGACTCTTACAAAGATAAAATGAGAATAAAAATGACAGGCACTTGGTAGTAAAAAATTATAGCTAAGATTATATAACACTGATGAAGAAATATAATTACAGAGATGATTTGGAAAATGTTAATGTTTGTCTGAAAAATAGTAGACTCAGAATGCATATGACTCAAAAAAGTGACTTGATCAGGAGGGCAGAGGAATTTAAGATAGATGAATGTGAGACCTAATAATCGTGTATCTGTCAGGTCAAAATGTAAAAACAAAACAACTAAAATACAACTTTAGATCTTTTAGGGAAATAGTGAATATACAGAGGATTGTTTTAGAGAGGATTTAGATGAAGATCATAAAAGACAAGTTGAAAATAGCTTTTAGGGGAAAAAAAAAGAGAAGTTTTTCAAACTTGGGCAGTTTCAGAATCCAACTGCAGAGCCCCTTGCTGGTACAAATGGCTAACCAGCTCCGCTGCTAATCAGAAGTTGGCAGTTTGAGCTCATGCAGAGGCACCTCAGAAGAAAGGTCTAGCAATCAACTTCTGAAAAAAATTGTTGCTGTTGTTGTTCTTAGGTGCCATCAAGTCATCTCCAACTCAGCGACCCTATGCACAGCAGAACAAAACACTGCCTGGTCCTGCGCCAGCCCCACAATCCTTGCTATACCTGAGCCCATCATTGCAGCCACTGTGTCTATCCATCTCATTGAGGGCCTTCCTCTTCTTCGTGGACCCTCCACTTTACCAAGTATTGATAGCCTTCTCCAGGGAATGGTTCCTTTTGACAACATGATGAAAGTAGGTCAGACAAAGTCTGGCCATTCTCATTTCCAAGGAGCATTCTGACTGCACTTCTTCCAGGACATATTTTTTAGTCCTTTTAGCAGACCACAGTACTCTTAGCATTCTTCTCCAACACCACAACTCAAAAGCATCAACTCTTCTTCAGTCTTCCTTAATCATTGTCCAACTTTCACATGCATAAGAGGTGACTGAAAATATCATGGCTTAAGTTAGGCTCACTTTAGTCTTCAAGGAGACATCTTAGCTCTTCATCACTTGAAAGAGGTCCTCTGCAGCAGATGTGCCCAAGGCAATACCTCGTGAGATGTCTTGACTACTGCTTCCATTGGTATTGATTGTAGAGCCAAGTAATATGAAATCTCTGACAACTTCAATCTTTTCTCCATCCACCATGAAGCTGTTTATTGGACCAGTTGTGAGGATTTCTGTTTTCTTTATATTGAAGAGTAATCCATACTGCAGACTGTAGTCTTTAATCTTCAGCAGTAAGTACTTCAAGTCATCCTTACTTTCACCAAGCAAAGTTGTGTCATCTGTGTATCTCAGGTTGTTAATGAGTCTTCCTGTAATCCTGACACTGTGTTCTTCATGTAATCCAGCTTCTCAGATTATTTGCTGAGCAAAAGAGTTTAATTAGTATGGTGAAAGAATACTACCCTGACACACTCCCTTCCTGACTTTGAACCAAGCAGTATCCCGTTGTTCTGTTCGAATGACAGCCTCCTGATCTATGTATGGGTTCCTCATGAGTACAATCAAGTGTTCTGGAATTCCCACTCTTCTCAATGTTATCCACATTTGTCATGAACCACACAATAAAATGCCTTTGCATAGTCAATAAAACACAAGTAAACATTTTTCTGGTATTCTTTGCTTTCAGCTAAGATCTATCTGACATCAGCAATGATAGCCCTCATCCCACATCCTCTTCTGAATCCAGCTTGCATTTCTGGAAGTTCTCTGTCAATATATGTCAATATACTGTTACAACCATTTTTGAATTATCTTCAGTAAGATTTTACTTGCAGATGATATTGATATTGTTCAGTAATTTCCACATTCTGTAGGATCACCTTTCTTTGGAATGGGTACAAATATGGATCTCTTCCAGTCAGTTGGCCAGGTAGCTGTCTTCCAAATCTCTTGGCATAACCGAGTGAGTGCCTCCAACGGGGCATCCGTTTGTTGAAACATCTCAATGGGTATTCCATCAATTCCCAGAGCCTTGTTCTTCGCCAATGCCTTCAGTGCAGCTTCGACTTCTTCCTTCAGTACCATTGGTTCTTTATCATATGCAACCTCCTGAAATGGAAGAACATCGACCAATTCTTTTTGGTACAGTGACTGTGTATTCCTTCCATCTTCTTTTGATGTTTCCTGCATCATTCATTATTTTGCCCATAGAATCTTAATGCTGAGTGTGTTCTTCTCATTTGGTTCTCTAACTCCAGATCTTTGCACATTTCATTATAGCAATTGGCTTTGTCTTCTCAAGCTGCTCTTTGAAATCTTCTGTTCAGCTCTTTTATCTTGCCATTTCTTCCATTTGCTTTAGCTACTCTTTGCTCAAGGGCAAGTAGGAGGAGTTCACAATTTAAAAAGAGTAGTCTGGAAAGGGAGCAAGTTATGTGGATATCTGCATGAAGTATGTTCCGAGCAGAAAGAACCTCGAGGTTCAAAGGTTCTGCAACCAAGTGGAATAGCAATGAGTCCAAGGTGATTGGAGAGAGTGACTGAAGAAGATTGCAGCAGGAGATGGAGTCAAAGAGGCAATGGTGGGAGTCAGATCAAATAAAGCCACTGTAGGGCTTGTGGGTATTTCCCTAAATGAGTTAGGAAACCACTAGATTCTGAACAGAGGAGTGACATAATCAAATGATATTTATGCTTAAAAAAAACAAAACCAAACAAAAAAACCACAGCACAGTTTCCAGTACTGAGTGAATTCAATTCTCACTAATCCAAAATTACCTCAAAATGTGTTAATATCCAGGCACCTCAAATGGCTAAGGAGCTCTGGTGATACTATGGTTAAGACACTGGGCTGCTAACCAAAAGGTCAATAGTTTGAACCCACCACTTGCTCTACTGGAGAAAGATGAGGCAGTCTCCTTCCATAAAGATTTATAAAGTTGGAAACCCTATGGGGGTCTCTATGAGTCAGAATTGACTGAATGGCAGTGGGTTTATTAGTCTATGTTTTGTTTTAATTTAAGTAATGCTTTGTATTTCAAAATACTATTTTATATAATATAAAAAAATGTATGGGATTCTCTAAGATCAAAGGAGTAAATTATTATCAATAAAAATTAATTAGTCCACTGGCTTTGTACATAATTATTTATACCTACACAGACTACATCTTTTTGTTTACTGGTTTTATTGTTTTAATTTCAGAACTAATCCCTACATAAGTCTAAGAGATGAAGTCACCATTTTCACAATAGGGTACAAGTTCTAGACATAATAAAGCCCAAGCATATCATCACAAAATTTATATACTAAAAACTTGAATAATAAAGATGAGAATAACTTACAGAATGATATACTGTCTGGTTTCAACAACTGTAATCCATGACACAGATTTTTTCTATTTATACAATGTTTTTATCTATATTATCTTATCTGGGCCTCACAATAACCCTGGAAAAAAGTAGATATTAGCATCACCTGGAAGGTAGAAAACTAAGGTTCAAAAGATTAGTAACTTGCTCGGTGAATTCAGCAATTGTCATACTCTGCCACTCTACCAGGTGTGAGTCAAAAATGAGCTGCTTCTTAAGTATAACATAATTAACTGGAACCCTGGTACCTTCACAGTGTTGTGAATTTCAGAGGTCATTAGGTTTCTGGCTGCCACAATCACATCCTGGCACTTCTTGTTAGCAAAATGAGAATTGACATTACGAGCATACTTCAGCAAATCCGTAGTGTCTCCTTTTAAAAACCTCAGCTCCTTTAGGGCATTTTCAAATTCTTCAGTGGACTGTATGATCTGAGAGAGAAATACAAGAAAAGAGAAGAAATAGTAATAATGATATGTACACATTCCATTTTAATATTAAGATTTCAAATCCAATGTATAGAAAAGAACAAAGACCAGCTGGTCATTTAAGTTTTAGGAAAGACCACCAATCACTACATACAACAATATTCATTTTTCTAGTCTTAAATTCATTAGGAATACTATCTTCAACAGAAATTTCTGACTCTCTCAGTAAAAGTACAAAAGAGCTTTCCAATAAATATACTTATTGTAGCATTCTAGGAAACACTAAAAATGGCAAAAAACCAAAGCATTACACAGAAGCTACTATAGTTGGCATTCTGGTCCAAGTATAAAAGAACAACCGTTTTTCAAAAGTATCTTACTAAAGAAAATATACTTAATACAAAAATATAGTTCCCCAAAGAGGCAGGAAGCCAGCAGAGAAAGAGAGTTATAGAGAATATACCTCCACTCCTTCTTCATAATTTTCTTGAAGATGTAACTGAAGAAGAAAAAATCTCCACAGAAAAACAAAAGACATCAATAGAAATCTAAACTTTCTGTGATATCTCTGTTCTCACCTCTTCATACTGCTGTAACTTGCTGCTGTTTGTTGGAATAGAATAAACCAAACAGTTTTTAATGAGGCATTCGGACAAGTCTTCCCAGATCATGTCACCAAGCATCTCAGCCAATATGATCTTAGATGTTTTTTCATTTTCTACATCAGCATCAAAAGGCAAATCTGAATTCAAAAGAAAGAGTTACACCCAAGAAACCATTAATGATCATGATATATTCTCAAGTTTCCTACTTTTCTAGAATTCTTTAATTTTAAGATGATGAGGAAAAAAACAGCACAGATCACTCTATAGCCATCTTGACTGTGTGGGGCAAAGCAATTATTTTATTTTTACTGCTCAAATGAATGGTCTACACTGTATGACTCTCTGCACTCTATAACAACAAGATATGAAGCCATCTACATTATGATCAACTACTGATCTGATTATATGGCAATTATTCAGAAGTTCTGCATTCCAAGTTGAAACTAGTTTAGAATACAATCCCAGTTCTTTAATAAAAAATAACTTATTACATTCCTGCATAGGTTCTAAGTGTTTATCCGAAATGAAGTATCTATGTACACCTTATATAAAAGTGTAGTATCTAGTCTACCAAACAATACTTCAATAACTCTTCCACTGTGAATCTTACATGGTTTTGTCCAACACATTTTGTACAGTTTATATTTAGAATGAAGTCCCTGGGTGGTGCAAATGGTTAAGTATTTGGCTACTAACTGAAAGACTGGCACTTCAAACACACCGAGGTGCCTGGGAAGAAAAGCCTGGTGATCTATTTTTGAAAGGTCACAGCCATTGAAAATCCTATGGAGTGCAATTCTAATCTGAAACACATGGGGTCACCATGAGTCAGAATCAATTCAAAGGCAATTGCTTTTTTTTTCTTACAGGCAGAGCTCATTTTATTGTGCTCTGCACCTTACTGGTTTTGCAGATACTGCATTTTTTGACAAATTAATGGTTTGTAACAACCCTGCATCGAGTAAGTCTATTGGCACCATTTTTCCAACAGCATGTGCCCACTTCATGTCTCTGTGTCACATTTTGGTAATTCTCAAAATAGTTCAAAGTTTTTCACAATGCTATTACATATTTAATAATGTGTAATACACATTTAATAGTGTAAACATAACTTGTATATGCCCTGGGAAACCAAAAAATTCGTGACAAGCTTTATTGCAACATTCACTTTATTGTGGTGACCTAGAACGAACCCGCAGTACCCCTGAGGTATGCATGTATTTATAATATACTATTAATCCGTTAAGAAGGTATGATGGCACAATGGTTAAAGTGCTCAACTGGTAATCAAAAGGTCAGCAGTTCAAACCCACCAGCTGATCCACAGGAGAAAGATGGTGGCAGTCTGCTTCCATAAAGATTATAGCCTTGGAAACCCCATGAGGCAGCCCTACGTTGTCCTACAGGGTTGCCAAGAGTCAGAACTGACTTGACAGCAACAGTTTTGTTTTTTTGGTTTTTATTAATCAATTAAATAATAGATAAGTTTAGTGACCAAAGTAGAGTGAAAAGGAATCATAAAAGGCACCAGCTATTTTGAACCTAGCTCTTATTTCACCAAGGAAGATCTTAGAGAGTAAGAACCTTAGAAGACAGTGGTATTATCTCAAAGTCTTGAGATAGCTTATAGTGCCTAGAGTCTAGGACTATACTGCCCAATACAGTTACCAGCCACCTCTGGTTACTGAATACTTGAAATGTGGCAGAAGAACTAATTTTTTTTTTAAGTAATAACAGAAGCAAGGGGGTGTGGCTTATGATAATGGAACAGTCCTATATATTGATTGTGGTGGTGGTTACATGAATCTACACACGTAGTAAAATTACATAGCACTACAGAGTCACTGTGAGTTGGAATAAACTCTGGCAGTAGGTTTGGTTTTGGGGTTTATGCACACAACACATAAATAACTTTGTCATTTCTAGTATTTCACACGAACATATCACTGATCTGATTGGTTAAATGGACTAGCTCTACTGGAATGATTTCTTTTCTATGTACCAATATAATACTATAATGTGTTTATCTGAATGTTTTATGCATACAGCATGATTCTCATATAAATCATAACTAGTAGTTAAACCAAGGAAAATAACTATAGACAGATTTCTAAATTCAAAGACATACTATTGACGCATAATCAGGTGAAGATGCAGAAGCTAGAAGTGTTTATGGAACAGTGAAAAAAAGAGAGAGCCCAGAGAAAGTATGTCACAAATTTCACAATGAATGGCAACTGCCATTTGCTACAACAGAACAAAACAAAAAGGCCGCTTGCTTGTTGTGTAAATTTTTTTTTAAGTAAAAAAGTAGAGACACTGTCAGAAAATACACTGTGGATTTGATAAGCTTCCTCTCAAAACAGAACTGACAAAATTTGTCATCTAAAATCACAATTAAATGTCCAATAAAAAATGTGACTTCTTTTTACAGGATCTGAGCTTTTAACTTTAGTCAGTTATAAAATGACGTGGATTCTTGCACAAAAAAAAAAAAAACTAAACAATTTTCAGACAGAATGATGGCAAATAAATTATTACTTGAGTTACAGAAATTTTTTTAGAAACTCAAGATGACTAAAAACACATTTTATAAAAACATAAAAGATCTTCAATTAAGCCATCAAATAACAATATTTCTACAGTATCAATTGATTCAACTTCCAAAAAATTAATTTTAGATGATACTTTGGGTACATTTTATCTAAAACTTCCAATTTTACAAAGAAATATTATCAATTCACAGACTAAAACATGAATATTTGCAGCATAGGTAATTTTTAGTCTTTTACATTTGTGAAAGAATTATGTTATGAAGATATGGAAAAGACAGCCTTTTTCACAACAGAGAGTGCTCTAGCTATGTTAGGTCAAAAATCCAGATTTATTAGAATTTTAAAACAAGAAACCCTTATTACTTCACTGCGTGATACATATTTGTGTTCAATTTTCTTAAGCAGTGTCTATAAAAAACGTCATATTGCTAAAATTGTCCCATATATATATATAAACTCAAAAACTCACTGCTGTCAAGTTGGATCCAACTCATAGTGACCCTCCTTGGGTTTCCAAGGCAGTATCTCTATGGAGGTGGATTGCCCAATCTTCCTTCAGAGGAGTGGCTGGTGGGTTTGAACTGCCAGCCTTCTGGTTTAGCAGTCAAATGCCTTAGGCACCACGCCACCAGTACTTACACACACACACACACACACACACAAGCTATAAGTTATTACTAGTTTATGGAACTGTTGAAAGAAAAAGAAGATAATGAATATAATGATCTTGTGTTCTTTGCCAATGACCATTAGTTGAGTCTGGAGAAGTTATACAAAGATTTACTGCATTTTAACTTCAACATTGCCTTGAAAAACAAGGAATGCTTGCCAAACAAATAATCAAAGAAAAAAACAGCAATGTAATTTATGTTTCTTTACTGACATCACAAAACATATAAACAAGCTAAATGTGAAGCTCCAAAAAGAAAGGAAAAAGTTACTTGTAAACTAGCTTGACAGGTACAAGAACCAATACTGAAATTAAACCTTTTCATAATAGGAATCAATATCATAATTTTATCCATTTTTCTAAGAAGACTTTATGGAGAAATTATTTTAATTATAATAAATGATGTCAACTGGCTGCAAAATATCTTGAAAAATGCTTTGCTGATATTGATAAATTTAAGCTCATTTTAAATTATGCAATGCCACTTTAAAACAATGTTAATATTGATACATGAGTAGTGAATTAACTCAGTTACAGTTTTGAAATTGATATGCTGATGTTCTAAAGTCAAATCAATTCTTCTGAAAGAGATGAATCAGATTTGTCACTGTGAATGTGAATATCAAAGAAAAATGATTTCTTGGTAGTCAATTCAATTACTGGAAAGCTTTGAAGTACATTTGAACAACTTGGGTATAGAATCTACTTTTTCAACTGTAAATTTTATAAAATTTAAATGCAAATCAAGTATTTCTGAAGAAAATTCATATCTGAATTGATATACTGTAAATGTAAATTACACACAGAATTTGAAAGTTTGTATACAAAAAGAATGTAAAATATATCATTAATTAATATT